TAAATTAACAAAATAAAAATAAATAAATAAATAGTCAGGCATGGTAGTGTGTTACATGAGAGGCTCAGGGAGAAGGATCACTTGAGCCCAGGAGGTTGTGGCTGCAGTGAACCGTGATCATGCCACTGCACTGTAGCCTGGGCAACAGAGTGAGACTTCGACTCAAAAAAATAAAAATACAAACCCATCACTATTATAATACTTGATGTATCACAAAATTTTTCAGTCTGTTTGCAATTCCCTTTCAAAACGACTATATTTTTTGGTTCCAACTTTATCAAAGTAACTAGTTTTATGTTATAAAATAAATGGAATTTTGCAACACAAAAATACACACTAATTTTGTCGATGGCATTAGAAAACAAATGCAAGAACCAACAGCTCTCCCTTACCTTGCTGGTGGAAACGTAAACTGGTATAATCACACTGGAGAACTATAGATATGTGTCCTATGACTCAGCAATTACAGTCCCAGAAAAATAAATACCCAAGCAAAAGTAGTGCTTAGAGCCAATTGGGAGCAACCTAAATGACCATGAACAGGAGATGGGATACATCATGGTATTTGGAATAAAGTATGAGAGCAACAAAAAAGAACTACTGATGCATATGCACCTTGGATGTACCTCACAGACATTATGAATGAAAGAAACCTGACAAAAGAGCACACACTGCATAATTCTATTTATACAAAAGTCTACAGTGAAAGGAATCAGAATAGTGGTTACCTATGAGGGAGGCAGGTATTAACTTGGAAGGCATACGAGGGACTTTATGGGGTGCTGGTAGGGTTCCCTATCTTGATCTGGGTACGGGTTCTAACCATCAGGTGTGTGTGTGTAAGTATGTGTGTATGTGTATATATATATACATAAAATAATTCACTGAGCTGTGCACGTAAGATCTGTACACCTTAAGTACTTTATTATATGCATGTTCTACTTTAATAAAAAAGAAAATGAAAAAGAAAATAAACACAAGGGGATCTGAAATTGCCTCAAGGAAGTCGTTCTTTCAGTGCTGTTATCTTACTACAATAAAAATAACTACTTTTTCTGTGTCAAGGGTTTAGGTTATCTCTTGTAGTCTTCCCAATAACCTTAGGAGGTCTATTACTTTGATTTAATGGACAATAAAATGGCTCATATAAATGATTTTATTTAATCTCACAAGCATGTCCTTTCTTACTACATAGTTTGGCAAATTTAGCCTATGAAATTTATGGAAAAAGAATGGGTTCAGAAAATTCTGTTTTATGTCTTAATGGCTGGTGATACCAGGCAAACCCCTTATTTATTTTTTTATGCCTTAGATCCACTGGAAGCCCCTTAATTTCTGAGTCTTAATTTTCTCATCTATGAAAATGAGGATACTAATAATAGTGATAGTGAGGTTGCTTACAGAGATGGAATGAAATTGATATAAAATGCACTGTATAAATGCCACACAATTACTTATTCTTAGCATCGTTAATACAACACCTCGTTTTAAGAATAACATAAAACAATACCAACCTTATCTTCTGGCAAAGGTTTGTTTTAGGATTTAGACAGAATTTGCACTCTCCACACTGTGGTATGTAAAGTGGGATGACAGTATCACCTGGGAAACAAATGCAGATGCATCCTGAATAGGCAGTCTCTCTGAATGAATACAGTAGCCCTTGCAAAGTCTCCTTTCTGTCAGCTGATGAGGCTTTGCAGAGTTAACAACGTCAAGTCTTGGAACTTCACCTATATCATGTCATTCAGACATTGCCTAACCATGCAAAAAGTATGTTTCAAAACGTGTATCTGAATGAAACTCTTAAAATAATAACTGAAGAACAAGAAGGTCATGTGCTTTAAAATCCTGACTCATCGATGCATCTCCAAACATTAGTCAGAATTGGTTTTGGAAATGTATTTAAACAGTTTCATATGAACAGCAGTCTGCAAAACCAGAGAGAGAAAAAATATACAAATATCTGTGCTTTCCAGAAGAGGAGTAAAATCAATCTTGACAATCTACTTAGGTGATAACCTGTTCATGAATAGCGGGTAGTTTATCAGAAAAAGATTTCCCTATACAAATAAGCCAAATTCCCCAAATAAGTGGTTCAAATATCCTCCTTACCTGCCTTTACATTAGTAACTGCTTCACCAACACTTTCCACAATTCCAGCACCTTCGTGTCCCAAGATCACTGGAAAACACCCCTCAGGATCAGCTCCACTCAGGGTATAGGCATCGGTGTGGCAAACTGCAGTGGCAATGATCTATCAGGATATTAAAACGAGTGTCTAAGGGTGTGTGCATGCAATCAAGAGTGAGGTACAGGGCCAGGGAAAGGCATTTTACTTCAGTATCATATTTCATAATTCTAAAACACACTTCTTTCATATTTTAATCTCTCTAAAATTAGCACGTGTTTGCAATGTCTGAATGACACGATGTAGGTGAAGTTCCAAGACTTGAAGTTGTTAACTCTGCAAAGCCTCATCAGTTGACATCTTAACAATTAGAACTGGCAGCATTTTTTTAGAGGTACATAAAGGTAATGGTGTGCTTATATTCGATGATATATGGCATATCTGTTCTTTTCAGTGCCTGTTAGAAACTGAAGGTAAGCAAAGTGATTTCATGGGCAGATGCTTTCTGGCGTGGACAGGAACAGCACCTGTGTGCAAAATGGGGCGTAGGTCTCACTGCAGGTTTCTTCATTGGCAAATGTGATTTTTAAAAAGGTACCAACTATTTCTGAAATATGCTAATCTGCTTGAGTTTGGGCCCAAATTCAGAGCTTTTAGTGCAGCCAACTTCTTTTTTAGGAATCACATGCAACATCTGTTCACATAAGCCCTTGATCCCTGTCTCTTTGACTTTCAAGTAATCCATCTTTCCAAGCCACCAAAAGCACAGAAAGGCAGTCTTGGAGGTTTGTCTTTATGCTTTTCTGCTCCTGGCCTCTACATCCACTTACAATGTAACATTCTTTGCTATCTATAGGCAGGTTCACAGGGAAGACAGCTGAACTCTCTGTGCCCCATATAGCTCATCTTAGTTTATCCAGGACAAACATTCTATTTTTCAGTGGCAAAATCACAATCAGCTTGATTTCTGAACTTGAAGAAAAATAAACTATTATAAGACTTTAAGCCAGGTGCAGTGGCTCACACCTGTAATCACAACACTTTGGGAGGCTGAGGCAGGAGAAATGCTTGAGTCCAAGAGTTCAAGAGTTCAAGACTACATTGGGCAACAAAGTGGGAGCTCGTCTCTGCAAAAAATTCGGTCAGGCATAGTGGTATATAGTGAGATCTGACTGCGCCACTGCGCTCCAGCCTAGGCAACAGAATGAGACCTTGTCTCAAAAAAAAAAAAGACTTCAGGTTCCTGGGTCTGGGTTGCAACGAACCATAAAAAGTTATTTGATCCTGAACTGCACCACCTGACGTGTGATCCTTAAGAAAGGAGCCAGCATGTGCGGTGTGTATATGAGAGTGGGAAGGGATGGGAGGGAAGTATACCTAGTCACCCCCAACCCCCGCAAAAGCTGTGACTTTTCCTAGATGGTAACATTTTCCTAGAATGTTAAGTTTTACTTAATGGTCACTTCTTTAAAGCATTAATTTTCTATCACAATAAGTAAAGAGTAGTAGGCTAAAATAAGAAGTTTTATAAATGTCAAGTCTTCAAAGACTGATCCAGGTGGCAACCTTGTACAACATGCTTTTCTCCAAGGGTAACTTCATTTCTCAGCCAGAGTGGAGGTTGAGAAGTACTGGAATAATAAATCCCCTGAACCCTCGCCTCGTGCATCAGAGTCAGGACATTTTAAAGCCCTCTAAGCAAGCTGGCCTCACTTTCTTGTGGCTCCAGTCTATTGGGAACCTTTTTCCAATTCTGAAGATCATTTCTAACATGTCGCCATACATTTAAAGTTATGGGATCAACAGAAAGAGGAACATTCTGCAAAGTCACCTTAAACCCAAACTACAGAGGATAAGCTGCGGTGGTCCAGGGACCCATGGGATGGTTGATTAGCCCAAGATCAAACCTGAAAAGGTAGACAGGGTCTGCAAAGGTGAGAGGGGTAAGAGGAGGATGTTGTGACTCTTTGGTTGGATGACTTTCAACCTTCTCCCTGACATTGTCCTTTGGGATCTTTCCCCTGTAGACCTGAGAACAACTCACCTATCCTGAGACCTAATTGTAAGTCTTTTTTTCCAGTGCCTTAAATGCATAATTACCTTAATACGAACTTCATGAGCCTTTGGCGGTGCCACCTCTACCTCCTCTACAGAGAGTGGCTTTCCAGCCTCCCAGGCAACCGCAGCCTTGCACTTGATCACCTGCAATGGAGGAAAAAAGTAAGCTGTTTATGCTCCTAAACTAATAACTACTTAATGATCAATGAAGATACCAATGCATCCCAATCTTAGAAAGTGTATCACAGATTGGCAAACACATACCTCTAAATGATATGAAGAATTGTTTTTAGATTTCACATAAATAATATCCAAAAAAGGGATCTGAGATAAGTCTCTTTTGGTAAAAACAAACAAATTTTATTTATCACATATTTAGTGACCCTCTACAATGCATACACAAGAGCAGGTTAAGAACATAGGTTCTAGGAGAATCTGCTTCAGCAGGTCCGCCATAATGTCCAAGGAATCTGTATGCTTAACATATGCCCTGTGAGATAATTTTGCTCAGGCTGCTTTAAATATCGCCTGCTCAGTGCAGAATGGCAGCGTGGGAAGGAGTAGAAGGAGTATAAGAGCCAGGGAACTTGACTATACCCATCCCCTTGTAACTATATTTTCTGATACAGTAACCACTTGCCACATGTGGCTATTAAGCACTTAAAAAATGGCCATCGTGAACTGAGATATGCTGTAAGTGTAAAATACCTCAATTTTTTTTTTTTGAGTTGGTATCTCACTCCACCACCCAGACTGGAGTGCAGTGGCACGCTCCCGGCCATCGTAGCCTCAACCTGCTGGGCTCCGGCGAACCTTCCACCAGCCTTCCAAGTAGCCGGAACTACAGGCGTGTGCTAACATGCCGGCTGATTTTTGATTTATTGTAGAGACAAGGTCTTGCCAAGTTGCCCAGGTGGGTCTCAAATCCGCAGGCTCAGGCCGGACTCCACTTGCCTTGGCCTTCCAAAGTGCTGGGATTACAGGCTGAGCTACCGAGCCTGGCCTAAAATATACCTCAATTTTTAAGACTTAGTACAAAAAAAAGCAAAAATGTCTCATTATTAGTATTTAAAAAAATCTTGCTTGTTGAAATAGTATTTAGAGTATATTAGATTAAATATACTATCAAAATTAATTTCACTTGTTCCTCTTCATTTTTTAATGTGGCTACTGAAAAATTTAAAATTACATATGACTCATATATCAGTACCACTCATATTATATATATACATGTATGTTTTATATATACATATATATGTACATATATATATGCATTACAGATTATAGTCAGTACACCCTCCACTAACAGAGAATCAAGGGTAATGAGGAAGGTTTTGATCAGTTCACATAATGCTTATGAAATGTGTTGATAGAATAAAGGTTGTAAACTACTGCATTTTTAGGAGATTTGAAAGTTAATTACAGAGTGTGATTTAAAGACAGGCACAAAATACAACAGAAAGCAAAGAGTGGGGTAAGAATGTAACTTTGGTGAGTTTGGGAGAGCACCACTTTTAATTAGAAAAATGAGGAAGATGTAATTACAAATTCGGATAAACACCTATGTACAGGGTGATTGTGAGGTGTGAATGAAAAGTCTCTAAGTCAGTCCTTGGCACAGTATAGCTTTGTAAAAATAATGTTGCCAGCATCAGTAGAACAAGAGTTGCGAAAAGGAGACAAGGCAAATGACACATAGATATAAGCAGTGGCCTGTATAAACTGGTGAGGATGGACATTAACGCTTTTAAAATTAAATTGTAACTGGGCATGGTGGCTCATGCCTGTAATTCCAGCACTTTGGTAGGTGGAGACGAGAGGACTGCTTGAGCCCGGGGGTTCGAGACCAGCCTGGACAACTTGGCAAGACCTCATCTCTACAATAAATCAAAAAATTAGCCAGGTATATGCCTGTAGTTCCAGTTATTTGGAAGGCTGAGGCAAAAGGATCACCTGAGCCCAGCAGGTTGAGGCTGCAGTGGCTGTGAACATGCCACTGTACTCCAGACTGGGCGACAGAGTGAGACTCCAACTCAAAATAAACAAACAAATAAATTGTAGACATTAAATCCCATAGAACAAATAATTCAGACACAAAATAAGAATCTTTTCACCTCCATATATTATAAATCTCAAAACTAAACTTCAAAGGTCAGATTTAGAGAACTAACAATGAAGTCATATAACCCAGAGATTCAAAGCCACAAGAATAAATAATTCATTTAATCTAAATTTGGTGTCCCTCCCCTTAAAAAATGTTTGAAAGGAGTTTAACCTTTTCCTTTCACTGACAATTCTTATGCAAAACTAAACCCCACACTAGATCTGCGGGAAATGGCCCTACTTCAACATTTTAACTATTACAATAATTACAATTTTTCACCTTCTCTGAATAAAGACACTTGGTAATACCGATAAACAATTGCTAATTTAAGTCTGAAAGACTGTTCGGAGTTTATCATTTTTTTAAACTCCAAAATGTAAGGCCATATGGCTTTCCCAGAAAACGTCTAAAGTTTATAAAACATTAAAATAATCAGCAACTTCAGACTAATTATTCATGTTATTCGTATACTTCTGCCTCCGTTTATTGTCTAACGTGTATTTCAGAAACTTGTCACACTGCCAAAGACCTGGATTGGGATCTCAAATCGCAATCCTTGCTGTGACCACTAAGCACTGCCAACCTCCTTTAAGTATCAGTTTTTGGTAAGATGGGGACAATACTTCGTAGAAGTGTTATGTAAAACTCAAGGAGTATCTAAATCTTTTGGTGCTTACGTGGTCAAACATTTTGATGAAAGGGGTCCAGGAATACCCTAATACACTCCTTGGTGGCAGAATAACTGCGGAGGCTCGATTATGAAACGCGAGCAACGCCGGAGTTGGGAGCACGAGCTCTGGCCGCAGCTTTCAAGCTGCAAGTGTGATCCCGAGCAAGTCACTTAATTTCGCGAAAAGAGCAATGCATGGCCGTTCCTTAGCCACTTCCATGAGGATACCGACCCGACCAATTCCTGTCCCCACTCTCCGGTTCTCCCACCCCCACCCAGTTCCGCAATCCCAGAAGCAGCCAAAGAGGCAGCTTCCCAAGTGAGGAGCTGAAACAAAGCTTGCTTGTCTTCCCCTCTGAGCCGCTCGCTGAAGGCCCGTTCCAGCTACGGTAGACAGATGCTGTCCGGGCCGAGCCCCGCGCGCCCCCGAGGCTAGCGGCCTGATCCCATGCGATCCCTCCCTCAGACTCAGGGCCCTCCGCGCGGCGGGCGGTACCTGGCTCGCCATGTCCTCAGGCTAGAGTCAGCTCTGCACGGGTATCCGGTGTGCGCCAGGAAGGAACGGGTTGTGGGCGTGACTGCGCCCGGGGAGGGGGCGTGGCGTGTCCCGGGGGCGGGGCAAGGCGGCGGGGTTAGCTGGGCCTCCAACCGGAAGGGTGGAGCCTGTGAATGTGGGGCCGGGAGCGCATTTGCGGGCGTGCGAGTGGTCTTGCCGATCGGGCTTGATGGCGCTTGCTTCCATCCTGGTCTGACAGACTTGTTGCAAAACTCCTTTTTTGTCCAGAAAGTAATTGTCCGGAAAGTCTTTGTCCTGAAGTGAATTTTAGTTCAGTCATCGTAGACAAGACTTACAAATGAGAGATGTGGAAAGCGAAGAAACGAGAATTTCACCGGAAGTCCGTAAGAAACAGGCCAGCACCAGCTACGTGCCCGGTAGCGAAGGCTGCCTTCCCTCTCACACACTTTGTGTGCGCTTGGGGACACAAGGATGAGAAAAATACAGCTCAGAGGACTCGTCATGGAGAAAGGACACTGAGCTCTGAGAATAGTGAAAATAGGGCACAAAGCGGGAGGCGATTGCTGACAACTTCCTAAACTCCCATTCCAGGAGTTCCTAAAGGGAGCATGGGATTATGGGGGAGAGAACTTTGCGAGGAGGGAGATGAGAACGAAAAGTCTCTCGTTTGATGTATTTTAGTAGTAGACCAGAGAGGATGAAGTATTTGCTGGTTTACTCTTAATTTTCATTGTTGTAGGCGAATTGTCTTAAAGTAGCTCTACCAGACACACCACTCCTCTCTGCTTTTCAGGCTTTTTCATTGCTCTTTCCCAGAGTGCTTATCTTAAGAGGCTGTCCAGAATCTTTTCTTGCCTTCACTCCTTTTCCTTGCCTTCTCTGTCTCATCCACACGTTGGCATTTAAAATAATTTAATTTAATTTAAATTTTATTTTATGTTAGAGTCAGAGTCTCACTCTCCCCCAGGCTGGAGTGTAGTGGGGTGCTCACAACCACCGCAGCCTCAACCTGCTGTGCTCAGGCAATCCTTCTGTCTCAGCCTTCCAAGTAGCTGGCACTCACGCACCTCTACGCCTGACTATTTTTTGATTTATTGTAGAGACAGGTCTCGCCAGCTTGCCCAGGCTGGTCTCTAACCCCTGGGCTCAGGCAGTCCTCTTGCTTCTGCCTCCCAGAGTGCTGGGATTACAGGCGTGAGACATTGTGCTTGGTCCAAATATTCGCTTTTAACTTTGTTTAGTCCGGGTCTCTTGCCCAGGCTGGAGTGCAGTGGCGGGCGTAATCATGGCTCACCTGCAGCCTTGACCTCCTGGGCTCAGGCTATCTTTCCACCTCAACCTTGAAGTAACTGGGACTACAGGTGTGCATCACAACTGTATTACAAGTATGTGTGACCTGCCAGGCTTAACAGGATGGCTGTCCTAAACTCCAGGCTTGGACATGCAACTGCATACTGGATTTCTGCCCTCCATTAGGATATCTTACAGCCGTCTCAAACTCAATTTGTTCTAAAACTCATCTTCTTGTGTTTTTCCTTTAAAAGGCCACTTTTGTCTGTGTGGTGTCATTATTTACCTGCTTTCCCTGCCAGAAACCTGGGAGTCACGATTTCTCCTCTCTCCACCCCTGAATTGAATTTGTCACCTAGGCCTAAATATTTCACATATTGTGCCCCCTCTCCACTGCTGCTGCATTAAGTTTAGGACTTTATAGGATTACTGGAAAAGCCTCCCATCTGATTTCCTTGATACCCCCTAAATCTAATACGTCTGGATTAGATGTTAGTGATTTTCCAAAACATGCATCGATTAATGCTGTTTCCTATCTGTCTCTAATAATTTTTAAATGAGGTGGTCTATAAGCAAATGCCATTATTCTATTTAAAAATATTTAAGCACTAAGAGATGGATAAAAGACTGGGTGCCATGGCTCACACTTGTAATTCCAGCACTTTGGGAGGCCAAGGCAGGAGGATTGTTTGAGCCCAGGAGTTAGAGACCAGTCTGGGCAACACAGCAATGCCTCCTCTCTACAGATTTTTTTTTAAAGTTAGCCAGGTGTGGCATGCACCTATAATCCCAACTACTTCGAGGCTGAGGTGGAAAGATCGTCTAAGCCCAGGAGTCTGAGGCTGCAGTGAGCCGTGATTGTGTCATTGCATTTCAGCTGAGCAAGAGAGGGAGACCCCAAACTCAAAAAAAAAAAAAAAAAGAGAGATGGATAAAATGCGAACTCTATAGCTAGGCCATTCAGGCCCTGAAAAACCTCATTCTGCTTACATCTTCATCCTTATTTCCTGCTATTCTGACACAATTTTTATACTAACTTTATGGAACATTTGTAGTTTCTTAAAAGGACTATCCTTTCTCTTGATTCCAGGCCTTTTTTATATGCCAGTGGTTTTGCTTAGAATGCAGCAAGCAGTCTTGAGTGGAAAAATATTTTAGCAGAGAGTTAACTTTTTTTTCCCTATTTCAAACATTTTGGCTGCCTTTGGGGAGAAACACTTGCATTTTTGTGTTGCCTTATTTAATAATAATAGGTCTGGTCTGACACGTAAGGAATTTTGAAGTCATCATTGCATCCTAACGACAAGTAAAACGCTGAACAAAAAAATTAACAGCTCTTCTCATATCCATAAGAGAAGTCATAGGGAAAACTTCTGCCCCCAAATTAGAGAGATAGACAGATAGATACTGAGATCACAACCACCTCTGTAGGACCCATTACTCTGAGGAAGACCTGAACTGTAATTGATGAATTGCTGAAGGCTTATTGTGGATTAGTCTGAGAGTTGAAAGCTCTAGAGGAACTTAGTCACATGGGGACTCTCATATTTGTTTTGAGTTTTACCTCCATTTTGAAATCTGCCAGACCATTTGGTTCTTAACAAGGCTTGTCCTCAAGAGGAAGTATTTTACCAGTGCTTAACCTACTGGGATTTCTACCAGAACTTAATCAACCTGGGGCAAGGAAAATATCCAATTCTAGACCCCTCTGACTATCCTGTACCACCTGAGGAGGCTGAAAAAAAGAAACAGTTGAGAAAAATTATGAAGTTCACAGCCTAGGGGCACAGACTCACTGAAAGACAGATAAAATCTTGTAACTGTAAAACACTTTCCCTTCCCCTATACCTTTCCATTATATTACTAAAGAGCTATTTACTGCAATTTCTTTTTATTCAATATATCAAGTCTGTTTTTCAGTTAAAAAAAAAAAGGCATACTAAAAGGCAAAAAACACAATTTCAATGGACAGAACAAGCATCAGAATTGGATCCAAAGAATGGCAGAGGTATTGGGATTATAAACCATGAATTTGAAACAACTTTGAGGGGGGTGGGAAAAAATATAAAACAACTTTGAATAATATGCTAAGAGCTTTAATGGAAAAAGTAGGCAACATATAAGAACAGATGGATAATGTAAGTTGAGAAATGTAATTCTAAGAATTGAAAAGAAATGATAGAAAAAATAGCTGTAACAAATGAAAAATGCCTTTGGTGGGTTTATTAGACTGGACATGGCTGAGGAAATAATCCGTTAATAGACACTTTCAAAACAGAAAAGCAGAAAAAAGATGGAAATAAATGGAAGAGGATGTCACATACACATATGGAAATACTAGAGGGAGAAGAAAGCAAATGGAACAGAAGCAATATTTGAAACAACAATAGATGAGAATTTCCCCAAATTATTATCAGGCACCAAAGATGCAGGACACTTAGAGAACACCAAATGGGATACATGCCAAAAACACCATCTAGGCATAAACCGTTTAAGCTCTAGAAAAATCAAAGATAAAGTCTTAAGATGCCAGAAAGAAAATACGTCCTACCTATAGCAAAGGTAAGAATTATATCCTATTTCCCCTTAGAAACCATGCAAGCAAGAAGAGAGTGGGGTGAAATATATAGTGTTGAAAGAAAAAAACCTAGAAATTGATCTTGTGGAATTATCCTTCAAAAGTGAAGGAGAAATAAAGACTTTTAGATAAACAAAATCTATTGCCAGTAGATTTGCCTTGCAAAAGTTTTTAAGAGTTCTTCAAAGAGATGGAAAATGACATAGAACAGAAACTCAAAACTACAGGACTAAGGGAAGGTAAAATAAAAACTTTTTCTTATTCTTAATTTTTTTTTTTGTCTTTTGAATTGGAATCTCACTCTGTCACCCAGGTTGGAGTGCAGTGGCATGCTCATGGCCACCACAGCCTTGACTTGCTGGGCTCAGGTAATCCCTCTGCCTCAGCTTTCCAAGTAGCTGGAACTACGGGTGCATGCCACCACACCCAGCTAATTTTTTGATTTTCAGTAGAGATGAGATCTTGCCAAGTTGTCCAGGTCAGTCTCAAACCCCTGGTTTCAAGCAATCCTCTCGCATCAGCCTCCCAGAGTGCTGGAATTACAGGTGTGAGCCATCATATCTGGCTATTGTCTTTTTTTCTTTTTCTTTTTTTGAGTTGGAGTCCACTCTGTTGCCCAGGCTGGAGTGCAGTGGCATGCTCACGGCCACCCCAGTGTGGACCTGCTGGGCTCAGGCGATTCTTCCACCTCAGCTTTCCAAGTAGCTGGAACTACAGGTGCATGCTACCATGCCCAGTTAATTTTTTGATTTATTGTAGAGAAGAGTTTCCCAGGCTGTTCGTGAACCTGTGAGTTCAGGCAATCCCCTCACCTTGGCCTCTCTAAGTGCTAGGATTACAGGCTTGAGCCTCCACGCCCAGCCTTTTTTTTTTTTTTCTCTTTTTAATTGAAGGTCTCTTACTGGTCCTGCTTCCTTGAGTGGTCATGACCACAAGAAAAGAGAGGAACCAGCTGACATGGGGAGGGATCATCTCCACAACATTCCATTTGTATGTAGAACTAAACACGCAAGCACAAAGTCACTCTGTGGTTAGAGGTTGGCAGCATGGGAAAGGGGAGGAGCAGGTGGGGAGCAGGAGTTTCGTTAAAAAAAAAATACAGGCCCCACAAACTGGGGTTCCCCAATGAGAACTTGGTCTGTTTCAGCCCAAGAGGAATCAAGATCGAAAGCGGTTTGGAAAGGCCAGAACTGCCAGGGATGGAGAGGGAGGGAAATTCAGGGAGTGAGGGGACTGTTTGGGATTGGCCTCCCCCTCCTAGGATCCCCCAGCCCCCAGGAAGGGGACAGCCTGTAACCCCAAGAGCAGATCTGGGACTGCCAGATGCTCCAGGCAGGGGTCCAGAAGGGACTCACAA